AATTGTGCTCCTCTGCAAGTCTTGCAATACTCGGGAGTCCCAAGAAGTATTTCTCAGTTTCCTTCGCTTTTTCGCAAAGGACTCTATGTACCTTGCTGCTTTTAAGGGTGGCTTCGGCCTGTTTGTACCAGTGTACAAATTCTCTTCCACTCATGCTTGTCCACCAAGCATATGCAGCGTTGTGCACCGCTTCTGACCCCGCTATTCTCCTCATGGGGAAGTTGGGGTCGATTGTTACATCAACTGGAGCTTCAACTTTACTGAACTTGTTGAGTTCAGCAGTCTCGTATAGCATGTGGACACTTCCCTGCCGGGTAGCTTGCCCATAGGGTGCTGAGGTACTCAGCAGCCCACCGCCTCTGGCAGTGGTCCCCATTTTGGGGTCTGCCATCGGTTGCCCACTGCTCTCCCTCTTCCCCTTGACATGGGTTTGCCCTTCTGAGGGCGGGCCCTTATGTAACCTGGACAGGGTCACCTGCCCACAGGGTGGCAGGATAGTCGATGCCCCAGCACCATATCCCCTCCCCCTGACCTGGGAGGCCCCCATCATGATGGGTTTGGCAGCGAGGTCTTCCAGTGTGCATGCCTCTTTGAGTTCACATTTTAGTAATTCAATCTCCCTCTTTTGGAGATTGACTTCTCTCTCTGTGTCTTTCAGAGAGGCAAAGATGCCCTTGGCATCTCTTTGTGCTCTGTTATACTCACACCTCCAATGGGAGCAATTGTTGCAGGCATCATCTGATGCCCTCAGGTTATCAGACCATGCCCATTTGGATGGCCTGGATGAGGAGCTGCTGTCGCTTCCTTGTCTCCCTCCTACAAAGGACTTCATCTCTTTCAGCTCCTGACAGAGTTGACCTGTCTGAGCAGCTACTGCTGATGCAATAGCTGATTCCCAGCCTGCACTTGGCTGAGGTGTTGTTGGACCTGGGCCAAATTGGCCGATCCAGGGAGTGAATTGGCCAGGGAAGTTCCCTGGGGAGTATGCCTGCCCCCTATGTAACTATATATACATAACTTGTAGATAGGTTACACCCCAGTGATAAAATCGACTAGAGCTTCCCTCTTCTAGATCTCTTTGCCAGTTAGTAAGTTAGGGCATGGACGTGTAACTAGGCACAGCACTCCTGGTTAAGTCGCTGAGGCCAAAGCCCTCCACTTTGGGGACATCGTCCTTCGTCCCGGATCTGGTCTCTGACATATGTGGTAGAGGCAGCAGCTAATCAGCCATCATAGAAGTGTCAGGGGATGGCCAGTGTCACAGCTGTGCATTCCGGCCCATTGCCTGCCTGTCCCGATGCTGCCCGAGCCCATTCCCACTGCACAAGCATGAGCACGAGCCCTGACCTCAGCCCCATCCTCCCTGAGGACTCCCTGCTCACTCCCCCGCTTGCCCCTAGGCTCCCCTGCACTTGGCTGACTCCCCCACAGCCACACCAACCTCCCTGCCCTGAGTCCGCCTCCAGCACCGTGCCCAGTGTGACTCCTCTACCCTGCCCACTTGGCCCCTACAGGGCCACTATCATTCCCACACCTGACTCTGGCCCAACTCCGAGTCCAGTGCTGCTATGATACCATCACTGCTATTGCGGCCCTACACTCTTTCTTGTTTATCTATTATTGTTTGTTTTGACCCATGGTCATTGCCAGCTGCTATGTGGCCAACTCCGTTCCCTATTGATATTTGCTTCCGGACCCTGCGGCCTTCAGCCCAGGTCCGCTCCCATTCATTCCTTCTCTCTATATATATCCTGTATGATACTTTATTGTACTTCAGCTCTAATATCGATTTGACCATGACTCCCCAAGTCCTGACCCCAGCAATAGTGGCCTGCAACAGCGACCCTCGGTGCCAACCCTGGACCTGTGTCTAACAGCCAGCTATCCAGCCCCCCTTTACTCTAAGCGATATCAATGATGTAACCATTAGCTGAGATTGCGTGAGATATTTATGTAGTTAGAATGTAGGTGCTATTCATTGCACTATTATCGCTATCACGTCACCCCTTACCCATTATTGCCCTTCCATTCACATCATCTATCTTCCTATCTGATGTCGCACTTCTATCGGTTACCATGTAATTCCAATGTAGCCATGCTCTCATGAGTTAGTGGAGCTCATGTATATAAGGCTCTTATGCCAGCTAGGCTAGCTGTCAGGGGATGACTCCTGGGTCCCCATGACCCTCCCCTATGGTCCACAGCCCTATGTGTAACCAGCCCTATCCAGGGCACAACCTACTGTGGGTAAGGAGATGAGAAGGAAGCTAACTTCTCATCTTCCCACAGTGGCCACAATATCAGGCAAACTTCTGGGGATACCCGGAAGTCACATGAGGGCCAGATCATGCCCTGCATGGAGCATGCAGCATGGGAAGTACATGTGGGAAGTGTAGCAGGCCTGGATGCAGGTCCAGGTCTGGGCTAGTCAGGGTGTGTGCCCTGACACTAGCTCCCTAGCTTTGATATCGACTAGTTTCCTGGGGATATCCTTATGCTGTGAATAGATGTGTGGACTCTGACAAGAAGCTGGAAGAAAGTATCGAACAATGATAGATGGTCACATGGCATCATAGCTGGTAGCTGGCAACCAGATCAAAGCAGAGATGTGAGGCAAGAAATGGAAGGGGAATTGATGGGAATCCTGGGCATCCAGCACCATGGCTACTTATGGGTGCAAAATTGATCTGATAACTCTAGCTGTTAGAATGGGGCTGATACAGACGACTCCGGAGTGGAATTGGAGACTTAGCGTGGAGGGACCTTGGCCTCAGCGACTCAAGTGGAGCGCTGTGCCATTGCTGTTTGTCCATTTGGTCCTTAATTTCACAGTAGGTGAGCAGGAAGTCTCTAGGGGGCATTTCAGGTCGATTTCGGACTGAACCAAAACGAGTATGTACAAGTGCCGATATATATAATGGAGGGGGCAAAAGCACAAGGAAACAAAGGGGAACTGAATCGGAACAAAGACGTCTGAACGGGAACAAAGGGAAGAAGGAGTGGAGCGGTACCAAAGGTCATAAGGCAGGACCTGTGATACGTCCGAAAGGAGGTAGGGAGGGCAAGGCCCAGAGGGGCAGGAGGATGAGGAGAAGTGGGGGTGATGACTAACTGGCTAGAATGGGAAGAAGCAGTAGTCCAAATAGGGATGAGGGGTAAATGCGAGAGATACATTACAGGCAGCGAAAGTGCCAAAGGCGATCTGTGAAGCTTGGGGGTTGCGGAGCTTACGGAGCTTATGGAGGTGGGGTTGTGTCAGGGACTCGTCCGGGGTCGAGGGGGTCCGGGTATAGCGTCCGGGACCGAGAGCCTGGCGGGGGGCGGATCGGGCGTGCGTACTGACAGGCCCGATGTGGGACAGTGGTCCCTGGCCACTTAGACTGAAGTGGAAGGTTGAGAAGAAGGCTACTTCTTCGGTTCCCACTTCAGGTTCGTTTATATACATGCGGCTTGGATCACATGACGGGTGCCACGTCACCCTCGCACACAGCCGTAACCACCCGGGTGTCTCCGTGGGAGATCCCGAGGGTATCCGGTGCAGGCGCGCATGCTGGGCACAGCGGGAGGTCGCCCGAGGTGCCCGGGCCGGGTACATGGTGGGCGCGCTGCAGATGGGTCAATTGTACAATGATACAGAGAAAGTCGTCCATGTGGAATAAAGGGAGAATAAAGAAGGAGTAAGATAAGGAGAAACTGAGGAGGGGAGGATGAGGGGGAAGAAGGAAAAAGGGGGAGGAGGTAAGGAAGGGTGGACCAGCGGGGTACCGGGTCAGGTTGGGCCGGGTGGAGCCGGGTCAGGCGGGTGTGCCCTGACAGGTTGAAAGTCCGAGGGATATTGGCAATGGTGTTTACATAGTATGAGGTCACCAATGCAATGGACTAAGACCAAGGTGGAGTCAAAGTCCGAGGTAGGGACTATGACAGAGGCTCGGAGTAAAGGTATGAGCAGTGTCCGAGTACGAAGTACGGGACAGCGGTGGAAGGTCGTAACTTGGCAGAAGGGTGGCGGAGGAGTACCAGAGGGAGGAGAGAGGGGAAAGGTAAGGGGGAAGGAGTGGCGGAAAGGAGGGTTGTCTGTCAGGGTTCAGCACCCTGCCCTAGGGTGCCCCAGACTCCCCAACCATTCCCTTCCTTCCATTCCTTCATTGTTGCCTTGTTGTTGCCTTTCTGTGTTGTGTATCCGCGCGCACGGGATAGCGTGGGAACTTTCTGAGCGAGCAGCTCGCCCAGAATGTTCCCACGGGTCACAGCCACAGTTCTGGGCAAGCAACTCGCCCAGAACGTTCCCACGCTTGGCACTGCCACCTGGATGTTCCCTCCGGGTCACACTACACAACTCTAAGAGCTGTATAGTTGTGGGCATGTGACCCATTCCTTTATATAGCAACCATGCGGGGAGATGAGACCTTTACCCTTCTTCTCATCTCATGCCCCGCATAGTGTGAGGACAGGCCAGATGGGGGTTGAGGTCAGGGAGCCTCCGAGTCCGAGGCCGGGCCCTGACATTGTCAGGTCTGAAGGTGAGTATCGGAGCGAACAGGGGAAGTGTAGGAGGATGACGGGAGGGTGGAGGTGTTGTGAAGGGGGAGTGGAGTAGGAGGAGGAGGAGTAGTAGCAGGGTGGTGTGAGGGGCAGTGTTCGGTCCAAGGTGAGTATCGGAGCGGACGGAGATAGGGTCGGAGAGGTAAGGAGGAGTAGAGGTGGCGTGGGGGGGTAGAAGGAGGTGTGTTGCCAGGACCAAAGGTGAGTATCGGAACGGCAGCGGTAGGTTATGACTCCAGAGGTGAAGAGGGTGGAGGTCCGGAAGTCGGGTCGGGGTTGGGTATGCACGGATATGACACTAGCCCTATACTGATGAACTAGTCAATATCATATCCTCTGTGTATATAACTAGGCCTGTAGCAACTTGAATGTCCCTCATCTTTGTTATCAACTCAGTACAAGCTCACACTTTGTTCCAGATTTGCTGCATTTCCTGACTACTAGCAAATTGTCCACAAATGCCCAGATCTGGCCGAAAAGCAGGAAGAGTAACTGTTCTCAAAGGTGGCTTCACTTCACCCATTGGCCAGGATTCATGCTCATCTCAGGATTTATGTGCAGTTCACAGTGCCCTTTCCAGTTGCCAGGCTCAATTTCTCAAGGTTTCCAATGCTCCCACACTCATGGATGTTGATGTGGCCTGGGAGGAACTCCTTAGTGCTCTGGCAGGGCTTGCTGATCTAGAGAAAGTGAGCTGAATTTCTACTAATAATTATCTATATGACCTGAATCCTGTGGAGGACCAAGTCAGGGGTGTACTCCTTGGTCAGAAACATGATCGCATGTCAATTCTCCATAATGCCGCTCAAGCTGGCCATGTCATGCATGATCAGGAGCTTTTTGAGGTTGTTCAAGATGCTATTGACCATTATGACAAACTCCATCAAGAGAATGCTGCCACTCATAATGCAAAAAGATCATTTGTATGTCTTATTCCACCATGTTATCTGTGTGGCCATGACTCTCCTCAAGGCAGATGCCCTTAACCTTGGGCAACAGGTCCATCTCTCTGATATGGTATCTGGGAAAGATGCCAAATTTGCTGTCCATTTGGTGGACTATGATGAGACAAATGACATTAAGTTCAAGAAATGCACCAACTCTTCCTGGCTTGTGGACATTACAGGTAATGGAGAGCCACATAAGGTTGAAAGGGAAAAAAAGACATTTCAGGTAGGTGGTGATGGTTGGCTGGTTCTTGAGGCCGACAGGTCACATGTTGTTCTGAATAAGAGTAAGTCTCAACCCTTAATCAGAGAGTTGGTTAGAGTAATCTTTGCGTTTGAAGAGACTGGCAAGCCTGAATTGATTGCAGTATGCAGTGTGACAGAATCACCTCAGCTGCTGGAAAAAATGAGCACAATAATCCAAGAGCATGTTTGTGAGTGCCGGGATCTAAGGGTAGGTTCTCTTTTGCTTGACTGATTAGCTGTCTAATATGCCCTTGATAGCCTGGCCATCCTGGTGCTCTGTATGCATTTGGGATTAGTGCAGGGGCATGTCACAAGCGTAAATTTGGTCACACCAAATTCTCAGGCCAATCCAGCCGCCCTGAGAGTGAGCTCCGCAAGAGTGACCATGACCTCCTTGGCCTTGCTTCCCTTGCATGGGCTCTGATCATTTCACACTTGCCTATTGAAGTCATAAAGGAATTTGCCGATGTGTCAGAGACTGGATTTGAGACGAGGGAGTGTCTCCGTAGCGGAGGGCTTCGGCCTCAGCGACTTCTGCCAAGAGCGCTGTGCCTAGTGACACGTCTGTGCCCTAACTTACTGACTGGCAATCAGAACCTAAGGGGGGTAACTCTAGTTGATTTTATTACTGGAGTGTAACCTATGTACAAGCGGGATATATATATGGTTACAGCGAAGATGGGTCCGCAATTGGCGGAGCCGAACGGAGCGGAGCTAATGGGGTTAAACATTAGCTGACTGAATATTACCGACGAGTTGGGTCACGGGGTTAGCGGAAAGGCAGGCGATAACCCAGAAACGGAAAGGAGGGATAGGCCCAAAGGTGGGCTCTGCAGGGCAGGTGAGTGTATTACCCAGCGGAGGCGGGGGTGCACTAGCGGACGTTGGAGCTGTCCGGAAGTCTTTGGGGCTCCGTACTTAGGGAGGCGTGGTAATAAATTGAAATGAGGGGGTGGTGACCATCGAGGGGTACCGAGAGGATTGCAGAATATGGGAGCTCCAAGGTTAGTGAAGGAGGAGCAGAGTTAGACCGGAGGGAACGGAGGGACTGGAAGTCGATGGCCGGGGATGGATATGACACGATGGGCTTGTGCAAACAGGTGTACCTGCACTCTTTTCCCCTACAATTGGTCCTAGCAGTAGGTATTTCATTGACACCCTATTCAGGTTCCCCTCATCACCTGCTCACTACAACTTCAGCACAAGGCTATTACTTTCCATTCAATAGAAAGATCTATCACTTCTCTGATAAGCCACACCCACCTCCTGAGATCTACTATGCTCAGAATTACACTGCGTAAGTATACTGCCCATCATCAATTCTCTTTGTAATCCATTTTGGTCAGGCCATGCCATGTTGATCCAGTATATATCAACTGGGCATTAGGGTTCTGTGCTGCTCGCAGAGTGGATCCTGACTGTTCCCATCATGGATGTCATATCCATCCCTGGCCATCGACTTCCGGTCCCTCCGTTCCCTCCGGTCTAACTCCGCTCCTCCTTCACTAACCTCGGAGCTCCCATATTCTGCAATCCTCTCAGTACCCCTCGATGGTCACCACCCCCTCATTTCAATTTATTACCTACGCCTCCCTCAGTATGGAGCCCCGAAGACTTCCGGACAGCTCCGATGTCCGCTAGCGCACTCCCGCCTCCGTTGGGTAATACACTCGCCTGCCCTGCAGAGCCCAGCTTCGGGCCTATCCCTCCTTTCCGTTTCTGGGTTATCGCCTGCCTCTCTGCTAACCCCGTGACCCAACTCATCGGTAATATTCAGTCGGCTAATGTTTAACCCCATTAGCTCCGCTCCGTTCGGCTCCGCCAATTGCGGACCCGTCTTCGCTGTAACCATATATATATCCCGCTTGTACATAGGTTACACTCCAGTAATAAAATCAACTAGAGTTACCCCCCTTAGGTTCTGATTGCCAGTCAGTAAGTTAGGGCATGGACGTGTCACTAGGCACAGCGCTCTTGGCAGAAGTTGCTGAGGCCGAAGCCCTCCGCTACGGAGACACTCCCTCGTCTTGAATCTGGTCTCTGACAATGGAGCTGACTTTGTTGATGCTAGCCTTGGGATCATCCTGAGGCATGCTGCTGACACTGTATTTGCATTCCACCCTCGCCACCGCCATGGTACCACCAAGTGTGATCATGTTGAACATACTGGGCTTGTCTTCACTTTCTCTCAGCAAATTCTGGATGCCTACATGGAGGAATTGAAGCAAGGCCATGAGCCTCGGCCAGTGTTCACATGGGAATGCATTGACATTGATCTAGACATTGGGAGTAATATGCCAGATGATGACAATTATTCCTCTGTGTTTTCCCGAACTGTTGATAATCCTTGGGAAATGTTCAGTATGGAACAGAGTGCAAATGTAGATTAGATTTGTGTCAGGAATGCATATCTGGAGTGCCTGCAAGGTGCATGAAGTCACCCAGGCTTGTAAGGAGATTTCAAAAGTGTAAATAAAAACAGTTATATTGCTACTGATAAAGCAAGCAATAGAAATAAGAGAAAAATAAGAGAAGGCCAAGGGACACTTCAGAAATAGTCTAAGACCATTCATGGAATACAAAATTCACTGAGTAGAAGATTAATTTCAGGTTTAAGACTTCAATTTTAATGATCCTATGTAAGGGAACAGCTCTGCAGGGTTTTATTCACCCATAAATCATTCTTCAGAGACTTTTAGACTAACTGTCAGGGCAATAGCCCCAAACCCTGAGCCACATGTAATTAGATACATATAGTCATGTGGGTAAGCGGGAACCTCTGGGTAACTGCTTACACACCACCGTAAAATACACATACTTGTATCACTTACAGCCTTGTGTGCTGAGCTACCCAAAGACCTCACACTAACCCATAAGACAGATTTAGCCAAAACACTCAGATTAGTACTTAAAATACAACAAATTGCTAGTACACCTCCCCATCCAAACTAAAGAACCAGGGAACAGATTGGTGGTGGTTGTCAGGGGATGTCTCATGGTGCTTTTGTCTCTCCATTATATGTAGGCACTTGTACATACTCATTTTAGACCCTCAGTCCAAAATTGACTAGAAATGCCACCCCCTAGAGACTTCTTGCTTGCCACTTCTGAAATTAAGGACCAAATGGACAAACAGCAATGGCACAGCGCTCCACTTGAGTCGCTGAGGCCAAGGTCCCTCCTTGCTAAGTCTCCGGTTCCCCTCTGGAATCGTCCACCCTTGCCCAGTTCTAACACAGTGAGGGCCAAGCAGGCAGAGTAGAAGGAGTTGAGCTGGGCATGGTGCCAGAGGCGGACTCAGGGTGGGAAGGCTGGTGTGGCTATGGGGGAGTTGGCCAAGTGCAGGGGACCTAGGGGCGAGTGGGGGGGGGGGTGAGCAGGGAGTCCTTAGGGAGGATAGGGATGAGGTTGGGGCTCATACTCACACTTGCACAGCGGGGACAGGCTCGGGCAGCATCGGGACAGGTGGGGAACAGGCTGGAATGCATGGCCATGACACACCCTCTCCTTGCCAACTCCCAAGAGGTTCTCAGATATTGCTGGGTCATGACAATTTGAAAATTTATAACACTAGAAGCTTGGTACATCATTGTATCTCATTGTAGCTAATGCAAGTTGCCAGACCCCCAACATTTCCTCAGAAGATGATGCTGCTGCAAGTTGTGGTCCAATAAAGGACATGAGCTGTTCTTCAACTTGCTGGCTCAAGTTACCATGATCAACATGCACTGTAACAGCATGACCTGTGTATCTACTCCAGGATTCTGGGGCCTGTTATGACTTAGACCTTAACATTGAGAATTGAATGGAGGAGAACATACCTGTAATGCTTCATCCTGGATATTCCCATCATAATATGTGAGGTCTTCAGTGCTTAAAACATCTGCTTGAAGCCTTTCACTATCTATGGAATCATATTCCACTCTTGCCATATCCTCTTCCCACACCATGTTTCCACGTATGTGTTAGAATGTGCGGATTCGGACGACTCCGGAATGGAATCGGAGACTTAGCGTGGAAGGACCTCGGCCTCAGCGACTCAGGCAGAGCGCTGTGCCATTGCTGGTTGTTGTTAGAGATGGGCGGAAACGGACGACTCCGGAGTGGAATCGGAGACTTAGCGTGGAGGGACCTTGGCCTCAGCGACTCAAGCGGAGCGCTGTGCCATTGCTGTTTGTCCATTTGGTCCTTAATTTCACAGTAGGTGAGCAGGAAGTCTCTTGGGGGCATTTCAGGTCGATTTCGGACTGAAACAGACGAGTATGTACAAGCGCCGATATATAAGGAAGGGGCAAAAGCACAAGGAGAAACAAAGGGTGACCGAATCGGAACGAAGACGTCCGAACAGGAACAAAGGGTTAGAGGGAGCGGAGCGGTACCGAAGGTCATAGGGCAAGACCTGTGATACATCCGAAAGGAGGTAGAGTGGGCGAGGCCCAGAGGGGCAGGAGGATGAGGGGAAGTGGGGGTGATGACTAACTGGCTAGAATAGAAAGAAGCAGTAGTCCAAATAGGGATGAGGGGGAATTGCGAGAAATACATTACAAACGGCGAGAGTGCCGGAGGCGGTCCGCGAAGCTCGGGGGTTGCGGAGCTTACGGAGGTTACGGAGGCGGGGTTGGAAGTCCGAGGAATATTGGCAATGGTGTTCACGTAGTATGAGGTCACCAATGCAATGGACTAAGACCGAGGTGGAGTCAAAGTCCGAGGTATGGACTATGACGGAGGCTCGGAGTAAGGTACGAACGGTGTCCGAGTGTGAAGTACGGAACAGCGGTGGATGGTCGTAACTTGGCGGAAGGGTGGCGGAGGAATGAGAGAGGGGAAGGTAAGGAAGAGTAGTCAGGTCCGAAGGTGGATATCGGAACGGACGGAGATAGCGTAGGGGATGACGGGAGGGTGGAGGTGTGGTGAGGGGGGAGCGGGGTTGTAGGAAGGGTGGCGAGTAGGGAGATGTTCGGTCCGAGATGAGTATCGGAACGGACGGAGAAGGGGTCGGAGAGGTAAGAGGAGGGGTGTGTTGCCGAGACCGAAGGTGAGTATCGGAAAGGCAGCGGTGGGTTATGACTCCGGAGGTGAAGAGGGTGGAGGTCCGGAAGTCGGGTCGGGGTCGGGTATGCACGGATATGACAGTTGTCCTAGGGGTCCCTAATTTTGGATCTAGCAGAGGGAAAGTCTCTTGGGGGGAATTCATGTCGATTTCGGACTGAGGTTACAAGTTACTAGGTACATTGTATATAAGGAGGGGTCCGGAATCAAAAGGAGTGAGGGTAGGACAAAAGGAGACAAAGGGAGA